CTCTATTCATTTATTGTTTCTAATAATTTTTTGGTGGAGTCTTTAAAGTTTTCTACATACAGTATGATGTCATCTACAAAAGGTGACACTTTTACTTCTTTATTCCCAACTTGGATGCCTTTTATTTCTTTCTCTTGCCTGAGTGCTCTGGCTAGGACTTCCAGAACTATGTTGAATAAGAGAGATGGGAGTGGACATCCTTGTTTTGTTCCTGATTTTAGAAGAAAAGCTTTCAGTTTTTCACTATTGATATGACATTAGCTGAAGGTCTGTCATATATGGCCTTTATTATGTTAAAGTACTTTTCTTCCATACCCATTTCATTGAATGTTTTCATCATAAATAGATGTTGCATCATATCAAATACTGTTCTGCATTTATTGATGAGATCATATGGTTTTTACCTTTGTTTTGTTAATGTTGTATATTACATTGATCAATTTGCATATGTTGAACCATCTTTGTGCCTGGAATGAACCCCACTTGATTGTGATGTGTTATTTTTTTAATGTATTGTTGTATTCAGTTTGCTAGTATTCCGTTTAGGATTTTTGATCTGTACTTATCAGAGATGTTGATCTGTAGTTTGCTCTTTTGGGCTATCCCGGCCAGGTTTTGGTATCAGGGTTATGTTGGCCTCATAAAATATGTTAGGGAGTATTGCCTCTTCTTCAATTTTCTGGAAGAGTTTGAGAAGGATAGGCATTAAATATTATTTGCATGTTTGGTAGAATTTACTACTGAACCAATCTGGTCCTGGGTTTCTATTTTGGGGAAGGTATTTAATGGTTGTTTCCATTTCCTCACTGTTGATCAGGCTATTTAGATTTTCCAGTCCTTCATGGTTCAGTTTAGGAAGATTATATACAAATTCAACATAGGAGTTTTGAGAGACACAAACGTTCAGTCTGTAACCCCTACCCCAACTCTACCCTGTCCAGGTCTTTTTTATTTCGCCTTCAAAGAAGCACAACCTTCAGCTTCTTAAACTCCTTCGACATTCGTTATCTAAATCACATTCTCTGATTGCCTATATAGCACAGTTTAATAATTTATTGTTTATATAATATGTAATTACAGATATGTCACATTTGGTTCTTTTTCTCCATTGCTTTGTTATGTTGTCTTAACTAGATTTAAATGCCTTACACAGAAATGCTATGTTTAAATCTCTGTATTTAATCAAGTCCTAACCTAAGGATGTAGGAGAAACTGTAATAGTTTGTTCACTGAATCTTTGGTCATGCAAAGTCTGTTTTTCTATAAAGCCATTCACCAATACTGGCAATTGCTAATGGTTTTGCCTAGGGATTCTATAATATTGCCGTATTACTTTTTCTTGATAATAAATTTTGATTATAGGAACATTCAAAGTAATAGAAATCAACCATGCAAATGATCTCAGACCTTGGACCTTCCTCCCTTCAAAAACCTCATTCTGAAAAAACTTGCTACCAAAATTTAGAGTGAGTCCCCAGACCATTAATAATGATACTGCTTCGACCTTACCCCAACCTGATAAGTATTCAATTACTAGTTATAAAAATTCAATTAAGGTTTCTCAAGGTTTCGTTGTTTTTTTTCAAGTAGAAATCTAATAAAACATCAGTGATCATTTTTAGATCTTCGTTCTCAATCTCTTTATAAAACTAATATTAATATTTTAGGTTAATATAATTTTATCAATATTTAGTAATTGCTTGCTATCAATTGTGAGGTTTTATTTTTTGGATAATATTTAAGAGGTTGTTTTCATGAGTCTTTTTAAAAGTTTGTTTTTCAATTACAGTTTACATTCAGTATTATTTTGTGTTAGTTCTAGGTGGACACAGCATGGTGATTAGGCAGTCATATAATTTATAAGGTGGTTCCCCCAATATTCCCAGCACCCACCTGGCACCATAAATAATTATTACAATATTATCGATGATATTTCCTACATTGTAATTTATATCCCTGTGACTTTTCTGTAACTACCAGTCTGCACTTCTTAACCCCTTCACCTTTTCCACCCAGCTGCCACCTCCCTTCCCTCTGGTAACCATCAGTCTCTTCTCTGTATCTATGAGTCTGTTTCTATTTTGTTTTTTTAGATTCCACATATAAGTGAAATGATATGGGCTTTCTCTGTCTGATGTGTTTCACATGGCACAACACCCTCTGGGTTCATCCATGTTGCTTCAGCTTCTTAAACTCCTTTTACATTCATGAGTCTTGAAGAACTAGTTTAGGCCTTCCAGTTTATTTACAATAAGATTTTCCTTATTTAAGAAAATGAGCTCCATCTAGTGGACAATATGTAATATTACACTCTGCAAAGAAAAATAGCAAAGCCCCTAGAATATTCCATATTAAGCTTTTTATGACCTATTAATAAATTTTCTGTCTTAGTGAGTAATGTTATTTCAAAACATTGACTGTTTAAGATATTTGTCAATAATTTTTATAAACCTTGTAGTGGAGAGTCTCTGGAAGACTTGTTTAAATTAATTGGAAAAAATACATAGTTATAAAAAAAGCACAAATTACTGAGCTTTTGGTTATATCAATATTTACTCAATTGAACTAAGAAAAGTAAAGTATAAATTGTACTCCTTTATTACCCATATTTTTGTCAATGCATAGCAAGGAGGGGGTACTTACTTTTTATTTTCTTAAACAGTGAGAACGGATGAGACCATACACCGTAGAGAGTGGAGTGGCTGTTGACAATGCAATATACAGATGATATATTATATAATCGTACACTTGAAACCTATGCACTTTTATTAACTAATTCACCTCCATAATTCAATAAAATTTAAAATAAGCCAGTGAGATATCTAGATATTTGAGGAAAATCACTGTAAGACTTTTTTTTTTGCACTCACACTATTAAGTCATCCTCACACCGATGAGCTTTCGTGACTAAAGAAATCTCTCCAGAGTTCTTGTATATTGTTCAGCTGTATAGTGAATTCCTTCAAATGCCCTCTTTCAATAAATTACTACTCTCCTATGAAGACTTCCCAGATATCCCTGCCTGGATTAATCTTATCTCCTTCATCTTCTGTATCTCATTGTGCTCATATCAGGTGGTTAGTAAATGCTTATTGAATTAAGCAAACCCACAAAGAGCCTGCCAGAGATCCCTAATATGTCTCTCTAGTAATTGGATGCCCTTTCCCCTGTTGGCCTTCCCCATGATTGCCAAAAGCCCCACACGCACAAAGTGCCTCTCTAGGTGGAACCAATGTCCCCTGTGTGGGTGTCACAGTTACAAACACACATTTGGAGTGTACATGATTATACTCCAGAGCTTGAAGAACTTCATGAACAACAGATGATTAAATTCAGTTAGCTCGTTAACTTTGGTCAGGCAACTTTCCTAGGGGCCAGTATTCTTGTCTATAAAATGAGTCTATTCAGTTAGATGATCTTTCATTGTCCTTTAAGGACCAAATAAATGCATTTCTAAAGACATACAATTCTAAGAAAATGTTAAATTGGAAACTATGTTTGTGACTGGTAAAGCTACATTATGAGTTTGCCCTCTGTTTTAAAGAACTAGATGGACTGAGTCAATTTAGTCATAGATTCATAGGTGAGCCATGAAGCATCTAGTCCCCAGTGTTTTCTTCCACTTTGGCTTCTAATTCTTGGCTCATAACTGTTTAATAACAATTCCAATGGAGCAAGTAAAGTAAAGTTTTGAAATTAGCTGGCTAACAGTTGGAATAAAGGTTCCAATGGGAAAAATATTGGTAACAACTCAACTTGAATTCATTGATTTATTTATTCATTCAACAATCTTTAACCACATTCCTGAGCCATTACCCTCCCTCTCATAAGAACACATGTGAGCTGACTTTCTTTTTAATGCTGATAGATGTTTGACTAGAAAAGCACTCTGTGGAAAGATTATGTAGATTACAAGGGCTGTGATGTTAAAAACTGCACATATGATTCTTTTTTCCCTGAACTCTAAAATCTGCATTGCTGAGCACAATGACTTTCACTCACTCATTCATTCAAACCTTAGCAAAGGTTTCCAAAGTGCTAGGAGCAGAGTCTTTGTGCTCGGAGAGCTCACAGTCTAGGAAAGGAGACCAAGTAGTAAGAGTTTCTACTCCTGGTAATCGCTGCAGATAGGGAGTGGGAAAGTGTGTTGGGAGCACAGAGAAGGGCATCTCATGCCTTTCAAGTGAAGGCTAGCTCCTCAGGGATGAACAACAATTAGGCGGGAACAAGAGGTTAGATGATGGTAGCCTGAGATGGTGGCTCAGTATGAGTGAAGCTGAAATGCCTGGTAGAGCATGGTAACTGAGTTGCATGCTGAGGCTGGGAAAATGTAGTTGAGAATGGATTATTAAGACTCTGTCAATCTAGCCAAGAAATGTGAACTTTATCCTGAGAACAACATTGAGCCACTGAAAGGTTCTAAACTGATGACTGACACAGTCAGATTTATAGTTTAAGAAGAGTCACTCTTAGTACAGGGTGCAAAATGGATTCGTTTTTAAGGCTGTTATAATTGTAGGTGAGAAAGGATGGAACCGTGGACTTGATATGTTGGCATGGGGATGGAGGGAAGTGGATACAATAGAAGCTAGTGACTGTGTAAGTGTGGACGAGAGGGAGAGAAGCGCAGGTATGGAGAAGCGATGATATTAGGCATACAATGAGCAGTTGTTGAGTTAAACCCAAATATTTAGTGAGTTAATATGTATTTATTCTTTTCCTAAAAGAAATTCTGAATGATTTCTTTTTAATGGATGTTGAGAGACCTATGTCTTGTATCTGGTTGGTTAGCAAAAGTATCAAGTATCCCAAAGCTTAGGAAGACAAGAGTATAAATTCATTGTGTTTTTTCACTTTTGTGTATTTCAGTATTCTGTTTTTTAACAACAGGACCAGCTATTGACTTTCCCCACTGTCAATTTCTCAACCTGAAATCTCCCTTCACTAAAATGTCCACATGCGAGTATTCACAGCAATGTCATCTCTCCTCCTTCTTTCAGTTTTGACGTGGACAATGGCACATCTGCGGGACGGAGTCCCTTGGACCCCATGACCAGCCCAGGATCTGGGTTAATTCTCCAAGCAAACTTTGTCCACAGTCAACGTCGGGAGTCATTTCTATATCGATCCGACAGCGATTATGACCTCTCTCCAAAGTCTATGTCCCGGAACTCCTCCATTGCCAGCGACATGTAAGTGTGGGGTGGGAAAGACAAGAGGCAGTTTTTATAGAAAATCACATTAGCTCATCTCTGGAGTTGATGATGTCGTAAAACCAGTGCTATTTGTTTGCCTCCATTGTTCTGAGGAATGCTGAGGAAAATTATACAATCAGAAGATAAAGGTTAAGATTTAACTTGAGTACACTGTCACCGTTGATAAGAAGCATTTATTTTCCCACAGACACATTGTCTGGGAAAAGTGAGAATTAAATTTTTAATGGAAACATGTGCACTTAAAACATTAGTTTATACTCATGTTGGAACTGAGTGTTAGCTACCCAGACACATGAATATTTTCTAATATGTCAAACAACTTTAAACTCAGTTTGAAAATCCCTGTGATATTAGAGTGGGCAGGATTTTAAATATATCTCAATTGATGGGTCATAAAGATGTTAGCACTGGTCTGCCAGATCACTTGAAAGGTCTTTGTGGGGGGTGCGGCAGTAAGGTGCACAGAGTTGCCTAAGTTAAACCATTTTTGGAACAAGAATCACTGGTGGCAAGCACAGAAAGCATTAGACTTGAATATCATTTAAGAGATAACACAAATTGGCAAATAATTAAAACTGATAAGCAGGTTCACATGCATGATTATCAGCTCATTTTCTCAGCAGCCCAGACCTGGGTTTACTCTCATGTTCTTTAGCTTCCTAGGTTATGGAAGCTTCTAAATGGGACCGCACTCTCACTGAAAACCTGCACCGTCATTTGGGGTCATTCTTCCCGCTGTATATAGAGTTGGCTCCCACCTCACTCCTCTGCATCTAGGCATCTGTCCAGTAATTCTCACTGTTTTCTCAGGATGCCATCTCAAAAACTCGGGACAGGGTGCAATTCATCTCACAGAGAATAACTTACTTAAGGCCTCTGAGGGTCTAGTGTTGTTCTTGACACCCTAACAGATCACCAGAGTAGTCCAATAGGTCTGAATAGGGCTCTAGAAATGAAACTGTACCTTACTCCTTTTCACGGCATATTGCTCTCTGTTGCCATTTTATTGACATTTGTAAAATGATAATACAAGTAATGCTGTAGCCTCCCTAGGAATGAGTGACTAAACTGCAATCATTTAATTCAAATAGCGAATTATTACACTCTTATCGTATAGCTCCCCCTGTTTGAAGCACTTCAGGAGATATAAGAAAACTGTAAAACAATGTTCTTGATTTCAAATAATGAATAATCTATGGATGGGATAACAGATCTCAGAGTAAATGCTTAGTGGAAAAGATGTATATAAGCTCTAATTTGTGGACTTGTGGACTAAAGGTAAAAGTATCTCACTATCTACTATAATAATGCACAGGACTACACTGTCTTTCAAAAATGTGTATGTTTTCCTGTGCTTTTTTGGCAACAAAACTTCTTCAGTAAGTTGAATCTCCCCATTCTCCTATCCCCACCCCAGAGATCTGTGTTTGTTCTCTACCTTTTTCTTACCATGCTGTGCTGCTTTAATATTCTGAAATCTATCTCCCATTCATATTGATCTCTGCAAATCTATTAACTAAATGCTGGAGATGAATAGGTTCCACTACCATAACGTGGAAGGCATGTTGCCAGTTATTAGTGGAAATACAGGGGTGGGCAAAGGTAGGTTTATAGTTATTAGCATGGAAAAAGTTATGATTATTGCAATAGACTTACTAACTCAAAAGAATGCCACAATGGTACAGTGCCCTTAGGTATAATCTTGTAAGTGCTCAAATTACTGGCCCTTGTTATTTACACATTCATGCAGTCTACTTGCCATACACAAGCACACTTTGGCACAGAGTTCTTTATTGTCATCAGATAACTTACTTTTCCCACTCCTTTGTGTTCGGGGCTGATAGGAGGAGCTGGTGAAGGAGAGGTCCATGAGAAGGAGGGCAGAGAAAACAAAACAGCAATCAAAGCCAGGCGATAAAAACCACCTTGTACAGGATAGGGCAAAAGTAGGTTTACAGTTGTTCATGTGGAAAATAATACAATGATTAGTATAAATAATAACACAATAATAAACTCTGTGTTTCAGATACTCACGACAGTAACCTTACTTTTGTCCCACCCTGCATTTACCATTAATTCCTTGTATTAATGGTATGCACTCTTCTTTACCCCAGAACAACTTCCTTGTTCCAGTGCCTCTATTTCTGTCATATTAATCCCATTTTGTCAGGTTTGAAATTTAAGACATTTATTTAATCATTCATACCTAATGAAAACACTGAGCAACTGTAGTGTATGCAAAGCTGTCTGGTCTTGCACTTATTACTTTCGTAGTGAAGTGCAGTGGCATCATCCGTGAGGCATCCCATCCAGGGAAAGTCAGGCGAAAGGAGCGGTATTTGCATAATGTGAGGCAAGGGAAATCATGGCTCAGTTAAGAAGTGAGTCTGGAGAGGAGATCCAAGATGGTGGAGGAATGAGTAGAAGCTACGCTCACCTCCTCCCAGGACCAATCTGGAATTACAACTAACTCGTAGAGAAGTCATCCAGAATAACCAATGGAACAATAGCTGGAGAGAAGCCTTATTACCACAGACAGATGAAAGAAACCACTTCACCATAACATGACCCATATAGAATGTGGAGGAGATGCCAGAGGGCTGGCTGAGCTCCCACGAGTGGCAGCTGAAGTGCTGAAGGGGAATTCAGTGGCCAGGGGGGTTCCCCTTGAGAACTGTGGGGTCTAAACACAAAACTGGGCTCCCCAGCCTACAGCACCAGAGCCAGGAAAGGAACCCAGTTAACATCCAGCTATGAAAAGTGGCAGGGGCCCTGGCTGGTGTAGCTCAGTGGATTGAGCACGGGCCTGCAAACCAAAAGATCGCGGTTCGATTCTCCGTCAGGGCACATGCCTGGGTTGCAGGCCAGTTCCCAGCAGGGGCCAGTTCCCAGCAGGGGCCAGTTCCCAGCAGGGGCCAGTTCCCAGCAGGGGATGCACCAGAAGCAACCATACATTAATATTTCTCTCCTTCTCTCCTTCCCTTCCCTTCTAAAGATAAATAAATAATTTTTTTTTTAAAGTGGCAGGATTTCTGTCTGTAGAAAAGATGACTGCAGTCACAGAGAGCCTTTCAAACACACATAATTTTGTTTGCAGCCACTTCCCCTGGGCTCTAGCAAAGTGGGGGCAGAGTGTACTAGAGATGTTGGAGGAGAGTTTGATGATGGAGGCTTTGTGGAAAGAACTAAGGCAGCAGTTGACTCTGCACTCCCTGTGCAGAGTCATTCCCCATACTGCAGGAGCCATCTTGCTTAGAGCACTCCCTTCTGAGTGGCATCAGCCTAAGTGGAAGCAATAGCCCCACCCATAGGAATTACTCTGCCCCACCCTGTGGTGCTTAAACCTGACTGCTGATTACAGATTGACTAGATTAACAATAGAAGGAGGCAGCCACAGACTGTTGATTACTGGTAGCTTCAAACAGGCTGCCTAGGGCCAGACTGGGACACCATCTGACATCACTAGGGGCAGATCCAGAAAGAGAAAACAGTGAGATGAATTGCACCATGGTCTTCTTCATGACTTGCATTATTTTCTCTCCTGCATACCTTTTTAACATTCATTTCTTATCCTTCAAGTTTGCCCATATTAAGTCACTAGTTTTTGTATTACAGTTTATTTCATATCTCATATTTTGCTCCTCCATTTTCCTATTCCATTTTACCTTCTTTTTCCTCTTATTATTTTTGTTTTAAATTTTATTTTCTCTCTTGTTACAACTTCTTTCCATTCCATACTCTTATTCTCCAGACTCTCAAAACCATTTTTCTTGCCATTAGTCATCTCACATTCCTTTTCCTGTTCTTAAAATACCCTTATTCTCTCTCTACCTTTATCAGTCTTTGCTCATCAGTTGTGAATATGGTGGTGATTGTTGCATTTCTCTGGTTTTATTTCTAGATCTTCATTATTTTTGTATTTCAAATCTCAAATTTTACCACGCCCCTCTCCTATGCATTTTGTCTTCCTCCTGCCATTTCTTTTGTTGTTGTTGTTTTAAATTTTAATTTTTCCCTGCCTTATCCTGGTTTCCATTCCTCACTCTTAAAAAAAATATTTTATTTATTTTTAGAGAAAGGGGAAGGGAAGGAGAAAGAGTGGGAGAGAAACATCAATGCGTGGTTGTCTCTCATGTGTCCCCTACTAAGGACCTGGCCTGCAACCCAGGCATATGCCTTGACTGGGAATTGAACTGGCGACCCTTTGCTTCACAGGCCCATGTTCAATCCACTGAGCTACACCAGCCAGGGCCCATTCCTCGCTCTTAGTATTCCTTCTCTTCTGTTACTTCAAAATCACTTCTCTTTCCTCTAGACATATCTTAACCTTTTCTTTCTTTTTCCCACTTACTTCTCTCCCAGCTATATTAATCTTTGCTCATTGTTGTCAATAGCAATGTGGTGGATCTTTTTCTCCAATCTGCTTCCTATTTTTTTCTTCTCTCTCACTACTTTTTTACTTTTATTTTTTTCCAAGATTTTGTTTATTTATTTTTAGAGAGGGGAAGGGAGGGAGAAAGAGAGGGAAACATCAATATGTGGTTGCCTCTCAAGTGCCCCCTACTGGGGACCTGGCCTGCAACCTGGCCTGTTCCCTGACTGGGACTCAACCCAACAATGCTTAGGTTGGTAGTCTGGCACTCAATCCACTGAGCCACACCAGCCAGGGCTATTTTTATTTATTTATTTTTAATTTCTGTTTCAGTCTAATACTATACACTTCCTTTCTCCCACTCCATTCAGCCTTCTTCCCTCCCTTTTTATTCGCAATGTAAATTTTTCTTCCTCTCTTTGCCTTGTCCTTATTCCCTATTCATATTTTGCTCCTCCCTCTACTCTCTCAAAAATCATTTTTCTTTCACTTAGTCATCCCATTTTCATTTTTTCTTTAATAGTCTTACTCTCTTAACACCTTTATTAATACTGGCTCATTTGCTATTCATAGTGCAACTGTGGGTGGGAATTAATTTTGAAGG